GATAAAAAGAGGCAGCAGCAGAAGAGGAGGAGAAGGAGGAGAAGGAGGAGAAGGAGGAGGAGGAGGAGGAGGAGGAGGAGGAGGGCGAGAAGGGGAGGGCTGTGGCTAGCGAAGGTCGGGATCGGGAGCGAGACATGAAAGACGATAGCATCACAGAGACAAGCTAGGGGGGGGGGGGGGGGAAGCATCATGCGGTACAGTATGCACCGGAATAGAACTTGCACGGTTATCATCGCTGCATCTGGACTGAAAGTTACCCCAAATACAGGTCGTCTATAATGACCGTGCTTTCTATTCAGGGGAAGATGGCATCTGATTCTTTGGCATATGTCGGCTTTGTGCAGCTGGAGGCAGGGACAGGTCGTGTGTGTGTGCCTGTCTCTCTCTCTCTCTCGCGCGCGCGCGCGCGAGCACACACGCACACGCACACACACACACAAGAAGAAGAAGAAGAGATGGGGGCAAAGAAAGTCTCTCTCTCTCTCTCTCTCTCTCTCTCTCTCTCTCTCTCTCTCTCTCTCTCTGCTGTCTCTTATACACATCTAGATGTGTATAAGAGACAGGTGTGAGGGAGTAATGGCACAGCACACGTGCGGCCTCTGCGGGACGTCTAGGAAAAAAGAAAAAGCAATAAATAAAGCCAAGACCCCCAAGTCTCACCAATCGTCGGTTTTTTTTTTTTTTTTTTTTTTCTCTCTGCTGGACTTTTCACACTAAGGGCACTCACACCAGCACACTTTCCTAAATGTCTCTGGCCGCAATTACGGCCCACCTGGATGAATCTGACCGCAATCCTGTCCAGAAGTCTGTGCAGCTTGATGGGGTCGTATTGCGCGTTCTCCACGGTGAAGCGCTTCTTCGTGAAGTCGGTTAATGTGTCATCAAGAGCAGCCCCCTCTGAGAACCTGATTTCTTTTTTTTTTTTTTTTTTGAAATCTGGGACGAGTCAAAACATATGAAAGTAGCTTTGATCTCGTAATTATTAAAAAAAAAAAAAAAAAAAGGAAAACTAACATTTAAAATTTAAAAACAATAAATAAATAAAGAGTCGTATCAAAATTATTGCGGCCGTGCCATCAGAGCCATCACCGATGGTATAGTTAAAACCGTGCCCCAGATCTGAACGGCTTCCTTCATCAAGACCGACCGAGCCGGCTTCATTGCATTCTTTTTTTTTTTCTTTTTTTTCTTTTTTTGGAGGATTGCATTATTACTTATCACAACAAGACAAAGGAGGCCTCGAATTTTTTCACTCTCCACACAAATCATCAACCCGGGGCCAAGTCCCACTTACGCTGATCTTTCATTCTTGGCCGTCGATCTTCCTAATCTACGGTCGGAAATTGAGATTTCGGGTAAGTGGGACTTGGCCCCCGGAGTACTGGATCATTACCCAGCGGCGGCTTGTGCTGGAGACCGGGTGCAGCGTCCCCATTTTTTAATTTCTTATTTCTTCTTTTCTTCACCGTATTTTCTTCATATTAAGTAATTTATTTTCGGTGACGACAATGATGAGACAAGCGATGATGATGATGATGACGATGGCGATGGCGATGGTGATGACGATGGCGATGGCGATGACGAGTATGAGGATGATTATGATGGTGATGATATATTCTATAATCTCTGTATCGTTCTGATGTTAATGGGTATGTACCTAGGCTACCAGAGTGGCCCGGGACCACTTGCCCGGCCGGGCCAAAAATATATATATATATATCTCGTCTATATTGTCACAAGAATATCGGAGCGCAAATGCGAAAAAAAGAGAAAAAAGGAGAAAAGAAAACCAGGGAATATTAATTTCATTTTTTTATCTTCTTCCTTATAACTCCCCCTGTTCAGAACCTCTTGCGTACAAGGCCGCCCACGCGGATGTAGGTTGAGCGGCGGCTGCCCCCACCCCCGTGTGTCATATCGACCCACTTGCACACAGCCAGAAGGCAAAGAGGCAAACAAAAGAGGAAGGGAACAGCCAAATAAAACAGACAGAACAGGGGGCAACAAAACAGATCCCAGATGACAAGTCCCACATGCAAGCACCGCCCCAGCACACACAGGCCAAACGACGGGACGAGACCAACCAGGATATCAAAACATTCTTATCTACAAAGAAAATAAAGAAAGGCTCCTGCGCCCTTGATCACAGTGTGACAACTTAAAAAAGAAGACAATCCCAGATGACGATTCCCACATACAAGCACCGCCCCGCGCTCAAAAGGCCGAACAACGGGAAACAACCAACCAGGATGCCCAATAACAAAATCAAAGCAAAATCGAAGCAATATAACAATATATATTGTCACATTGTGAATCAGAGCGCAAAAAAGGGAAAAGAAAAAAGGAAAAGGAAAAAAGGGAAAGGGAAGGAGGTAAGGAAAGCTCCA